GTGGTGCCATGGCAGGACTGAGACTATAACCCAGCCTAGGTCTCCTGACTTCCCAGCCTTGTTGTTTTCACCACTTCCCAAGCACCCTGAAATGCAGTAAAAACAGGAAGTTTATTTCATTCATTCAACAAATATTTGCCAAGTCCCTACCATATGCTGAATGCTACCGTAGGACCAGGAAGAAGGAGAACAAGCAGAACAAGTGCCTGTGCCTTAGCTAGAGCTGCACAACAGAGTACAGCAGGCCGGGTGGCTTAAACACTAACATTTATTTTCTCACAAATTCCGGGGGCTGGAAGTCCCAGGTCAGGGTCTGGCACGGTCAGCCCCTGATGAGAGCTCTCCTGTAGAGGGCCACCTTTTCCCTATGTCCTCACATGGTCTTCCTGGGTGTGTGTGTGTGTGTGTGTGTGTGTGTGTGTGTGTGTGTGTGTGTGTGTGTCTCTCTCTCCAAGTCATGTCGGGAGGTTCTGTATCTTCCACGTGTGTGTGTGTGTGTGTGTGTGTGTGTCTCTCTCTCCAAGTCATGTCAGGAGGTTCTGTATCTTCCACGTAGTAGATGCAGCTATGATAAGGACAAATGAGATCATGTCTGTAAACTACTTAGCACATGGGAAACATTCAATAAATATGTGCTATTCATTCTCCTTGTTAATGATGAGTATGAATTACTCAGAAAACTAAATCCAAGTGGTCACACTATATTTTTCCAAACATTTTTATTCACACATTAGATTATGAATGAGAATTTCTATTCTTTAGGGCTATTAATTTATAGTAGCCAAAAATCAATTAGGTCATATACACAAGAAAAAAGGTATCTTGGTTTAGATTTTTTTTTAAGAAAGAAAAATGACATGATTGCATTTTCAGGGAGAGATATTATTAATAATAACCAAAAGTTATTGAGTCACTTCTAAGTCACTTCTCAGCACTGAGCTTACATAGATTATTTCTAATTACAACCCCATGAAGCAAGTACTGTTATTATTATTTTTCTAATTGAAGTAAAGTTGATTTATGTTATATTAGTTTCAGGTGTACAAAATTAATCCCAAGGATTTAATGGACCTTTTGAAATAGAGAAGCTTTTTACACTAAGGCTGTTGAGAGAAAGGCCTATAATGAGGGGTGCTAGCAGTCATGTACCACTGTGTACTGTGTGTGAAGAGTGAACATGAATAGAGCCCACGCAGAGAAAAACAAACCTGAGAGATGGAAAGAGACTGAGTCCTGGGGATACCACTTGAGTAGCTGGATCCAGCCATGCCTGAAGTTACATATACACATGGACTTTTTTTTTGTTTTAAAAAATTGGATTGGATTTTAGTCACTTGCAAAGGAAAGAAAGAAATCTGACTAAACATCAGTCATTGCTGGGAGGGCTTTTAGATATCATTTAGTCTAATCCCTTTGTTTGGTAGATGGAGAAACTGAGAGGAGAAGAGAAGTATCCTACTTAGAAGATAGAATTAATGGCCGTGTTAAACTAGAATCCAGGTCTCTTGATTTACCTAGTCCACTAATTTCCATGGTTTTCCATGACAGTTTCCTGGCATTCTTCTCTATGCTAAGACAATTCTCACTCATGTCTTTGCTACTCCCCTCTAACGAGGGGATGCCAGCCACCCTCTGCACGTCATCTTTCCGGCTCTGAGGCCGGGACTTCATTCACCAGAGGTTGGGGAGGTTGAGGGTGATGCTCACCTGGGTGGTGGCCCCAAACTTGAGGTAGTCCAAGGCCTCGGAGGTCCTGGGTGGTGATCACCAACATCCCCCCAAATAGGATGAGCGGAAACTGGGCACAGTTCCACATCTTGTTTTCCAGAAGCAAAACCTGTGAATGGAGTGGCCATAATTACACAGTGATCTCCATTTATGTTATCATTCTAAATTCATCAATTTCAGTCATGAAAAAGTTTGACAGAGGAAAAGAAAAAGCAAACTCCAATACGTGGTGCCACTAGGTACAACAAACTGCTGAATTATAACAATGTCAACCACTAAAAAGACCTTAGGGGACTTTGAGTCCAGCCAGCCACACTCAGGTATCCTCTTCCATGCGCAGGAAGGACTCCACCTCTGAGCAGCCCTGTGGCCAGGGTTGATGATAATAGAAATTACCGATAAAATGTTGCTGTTATAGACATTACTGATAAAATATATAAGCTGATGTCTTTGCAGGACTTGTGCTTTGGGCTCTGACCACCAGGAGGAGCACCTTCCCTAATTTTAGGTCTGGAAGCACAGGTGTGCAGACTTCAGTATAATCTTCGGTTCCTTTTGTGTGGGGGTAGAGGGGAGACTTTCTTATACACCAAAATATGCAGCAGCTCCTGTCCAAAGGATGGAAAAGGAATATAAATTGCACTGGCACCTGGACTGAAGAAATTGTTTCCTTATACATGGTATGAGTTAGTTGTCTAGAAAACTCTCTACAATGCTCATCCTTTATTCCAGCTCCAGCTGTCTATAATCAGTAATTCTGTATCTCAGAGTAGTAGTGTGGGGGCATCAGCTCCGAATAATGGTTCAGGCAGCCTTACTCGTGTGTTGGGAGGAGTGGGGTGTGTGTGGTGGGGGGTGTGAAATGTGTGTGTGTAGGGAGCAGTGGGGCAGTTGGTGATGGGGAGATCCAGAGATAATCCTGTCAAAAGTAGAACTAAAAAGAAAACTGAAGATAAAAGAGGAAGACCAGAAGGAGCAACTGACATGGGACATTTGGTCTGGAAGCTGAGAGATGAGGGCTTAAGCCTTGGCTTTGGGATTTGACAGCCTAATGCTCTTAGACTAGATTGCTTCTAGCCCTCAGTTTCTGTGTGTAGATGTGAGTGCATTTTACATATATATACTACATACATATATACACACACACACACCCCACCCATATGTGGTGTGCATGTATTTTTTTCTGAGCTATATGAGAATAACTGATGTGTTTTAAAGATTGTGTTCCTCTTGTGATTTCACTCAAAAGTTCAAAGGATAAGAAAATATTTGAAAACCTTTGCTAAGTTCCCTTTTAGTGCTGACTTTTTTCCACTGCTGGATGAAAACAGATCTAGCACCCAAACGTGCCAATTAAGAGCATACCAAAGTAAACAGATTTTAAATATGGACACCATGGTGTTTAAGTAGGTTTACTTGTTGGCTGGGATTGTCATACAGATGTTTTCAGGTCTCCCATTCTACAGATGGACAAAATGAGGTCCATTGAAAAAAGCAGATTTGTTTAACACCCCATAGCTTTCTGTCAGGTATTTTCTTCTCTGGCATGTTAAAGGATGAGGGAGCTGGATGGCCAGAGATGCTCAGTCCTCTCATCTGATGCCTTCACTTTACAGACGGGGAGCCAGAGGCTCAGAAAGACTAATGGTGGTCATATTAACAAGGTCCCTTATCTAATACAGATAATGTGAGCAGCTATTATTACTTTGGTTCGTATGATAGGCCAGGCAATATGCAAAGTGCTTTAAACGCACTGTTTAATTCTCACCACAATCCTGAAAGCAGGGATTATTATCTTTAAGGATAAGAAAATTGAGGTTGAGGGCCTCTCTTGCTTTAGTTTCTCCTTCTATAAAACAAGGAAGTTGAACTAAAACAGCATGTCTGAAATGAAAGTCATTTATCATATATATGTTCTACCTGTATTATTTTTCTCATCAAGTCTGGTTTAAAGGGAAATTGATTTTAGGAAGAAGTATTATAGTGCAACTCTAAATCACCATGAATAGAACATATCAACACAAATACATAATTTAAGAAAGTAAACAAGCATTACTCATCTCACCACTAAGTTTATCACTTGTACCATCAGAGGCATGGAGGCACACTTTGAAAAGCTACTGAATTAAAGGACTTCCCGGTCCAGTCCTATCTTTGTCTCTCCTAGGACACAGAATCCTGGAGGCTGGTGAGATCCGACACTTGAGAGCAATGCTCTTCAACAGACACTAACCATGGTAGGGAGCAACCACTAAAACTTCACTGTAAACAAGATAATCTCCAGGTTATTGACAGCAAATGGGACCCCAGGAGCCTCTGAAGGTTTTTCTTCTTTCTGGGAGCAGGGAGACACTTTCCCAGCCAGGGGAGCATTGATCTCCTGGGGGGTTTCCACGGTTGCTTGGGCAGGGGGGCTCTCATGTGATAAAGACTACCTGCAGAGTTCACACGCTGCATCCTATCTTTGCCTTGCTTTTGGCTCTTGAAAAGGAGAAATGGTGGAAGCTCAGCCCTTTGGCATTCAACAGGCTTTGTGGTCAGCAGCATTACTGAGTGCTTGGAAACCACAACATGCATGTATAAAGGACTTTTAGAGTGTTGTGACTCAAAGTGTGCTCAGAGGACCAGCAGCATCGGCCTCACCTGGGGGCTTGTTGGGAAAGCACAATCTCAGGTACCACCCAGACTCCTGAATCGGAACCTGCATTGTCAATGTTCCCAGGTGGTTCGTGTGCACACTGGAGTTTGGGTGGCACTGCTCTGAGCTGCTGCTGACGCGGTTGGTCTGAAGACCACTCCTCACAGCAGTGCTTCAGAGTAATCACTCCCAAACTTCGCTGATCATCAGAATAAGTCGGGGAACTCTAAAAACCTCACAGATTCCTGGATTCCAAATTCCAAAGATTCAGATCCAGTACAACTGAGGCAGGGCTTGGGAATCTGTTACTAGACAAGGTCTTAAAGCGATTCTGATGCTTAGCCAGGTTTAGGAGAGATAACAGCTTACATTTAAGGAGAACTTAACTGTGTACCAGGCAGGAGCCTAAGCTCTTTACATGTATTAATCCGTTTGAGTCTCACAACAGCCTTAGGAGGTAGGTGTTAGTATTAGTCTCATTTTCCACAGGGCAAAACTGAGGCACAGGAAAGTACTGTAATTTGTCAAACTTTGAAGTGGTAGAACTATAAACAGAATTCAGGTAACTCGGCTGTAGAGCATGGCTTTTCAGCTTTGGCACTACTGACATTCAGGGTGCCCTGTGCATTGCAGGATGTTTAACTGTGTCCCTGGCTTCCAAGCACTAATTGCTCTGCATTCACCCATGTATTTCTTTGTATCCAATCTTTCTTTTCTAGAGGTTGCCATTACGTCCACAGTGGTGCCTAAGATGCTGGCCAACACACTTTCTCTCACCAAAGCAATATCCTTCATGGGGTGCCTTGCACAGTCTTTCTTCTACTTTCTCTTGGGATCCACAGAATTCTTCCTCTTGGCTGTCATGTCCTTCGATCGGTACGTTGCCACCTGCAACCCACTAAGGTATACCATCATCATGAACAAGAAAACATGCGTATCATTGCTTCTGGGATCTTACGGGGGTGCATTTTTGTCAATTTTGGCATCAGCAATATTAAGTGCTCCTCTGCCCTTTTGTGGGCCAAATGTAATCAATCACTTTTTCTGTGACAGTGCCCCTGTGCTAAAGCTGGTCTGTGCGGATATCTCTCTGGCTGAACTGGCTGACTTTGTCTCCTCTGCTGTGTTGGTACTGGGTTCCTTGCTCCTGACAGGACTGTCTTACACGTACATTATCATTACAATCTTGAGAATTCCCTCTGTCCAGGGACGGCAGAAAGCTTTCTCCACCTGTGTGTCGCATATCACAGTGGTAACACTTTACTATGGAAGCTCCATCTTCATCTACGTCCAACGGACTCTTTCCTCTTCATTGCCATTGCCATCCTGTTTTCAGTGGCTCTGACGGGGAACATCACACTGATTCTTCTCATTCGAATGGATCCCAGACTCCACACTCCAATGTACTTTCTCCTCAGTCAGCTCTCTTTCATTGACATGATGTACATCTCCACCACTGTGCCCAAGATGGCAGTTAACTTTCTGTCCAATAGTAAGACCATCACTTTTCTAGGCTGTGGGATTCAGACATTTGTGTTCACGGTCCTTGGCGGAACTGAAGCCCTTCTTCTTGGGTTCATGTCTTATGATCGCTACGTGGCCATCTGTCATCCTTTACGTTACCCTGTGCTCATGAGCAAGAGGATCTGTTGGTTCACGGTCACGTGTGCGTGGACCAGTAGTTCTCTGAACTCTTTAATACATACGGTGTATGTATTTCAACTTCCCTTCTGTCCATCTCGACTCATCAACCACTTCTTCTGTGAAGTCCCATCCCTGTTGCCATTGGTGTGTCAGCACACTTCTCAGTATGAACATACGATC